CGCCGGGGTTCGCCCCCGGGTCTCTCCGCCCGTAGCGAGGGGTCTCCCGCACGGAGCAGACGGCCGCAAGGAGCCCCTGCTCGGCCGCAGCACTGGGTTCTGGGCAGCGCTCCCGGGGCTGGCGAGATCCCGCCCTCCACCCCTCCTTTTCACTTGTTTAAAAATAAACTTAGGGAGCCATCTTTATAATTTTTTTTACTTCCGAATATTTTAAATATTATGAAAAAAAAAAGCCATAAACAACGCTGTTATTCAAAACATTTTTTGAGGTATAAAACATAAAAAGATTTGGGTTTTCTTTTTTTTTTCCTCCTTTTTCCTTTTTTTTTTTGATTTTGTAAAAAACACACACAGTGGTTTATTGAGTACTTACAACGTTTACACCTTCAATATTAATTAAATTCCACTTTTTCCCTTACGGACGGAAGTGCACATAGCCAATAACTGCTGAAAACATCTTCAAATACTGAACGACCACAACAAAATTACAACACTAAATACCGAGTCAACCGAAACATCGGTGCAACTGCTTCTGTTGAAATATAACTTTATAATCCCATGAATATTTATATCCAAAAGGCCAAGTATTAAAGATACACTTCACATACACACTAATGCCAGGGAGGGATTATTATTTTTTTTTTTGTTTTTTCTTTTTTTTTTTCCTTTTCTATGGTTCTGTTTTCCCCTTGTGTTTTATACAGAGCAAATAACATTCACAAAAACTGTTAGAGACATTACCCCTTACCAAGCCGGAGTTTCCTCTTCATGCATGGAATGCTTTTTCCCTCTCCTTGAAATATCCACGTTTTGGGGGGGGGTTGGGGGAGAAATTGCACATAAATAAACCGGACGATTCCAAATATAAAGAGTCCTCCGAGGAGAGCTGGCCACCGAGAGCGGGCGGACGGCTCCTCCGGCCCTGCCGCGCTCACTGCTTGAGCTCCAGAGCCCAGACGTGCTGCGGCCACCCAGTCCTGCCTTTGGTTTTCTTGTCGTTGCTGCTGACTGTGCTTTTCAAGATCTCGTTCTGGGGAGACGGGGTGCGAAGGGAGAGAAAGAGAGAGAGGAGAAAAAGGAAGGAGGAGATAAAAAAAAAAAGGTTAGAGTTCTTCCTCCCCTCTCCAGGTCGCCTCTGCCCTGCCCCGAGAGGGAAATCTCCG